GTTCAAGTTCGGGTGGTGTGGCGGGGGTGGGGGGAGCGAAGACTAAATAGAGCTCGATGAGTGAAAGGGAACACTATAGCTGGCAAAATAAGGCTATGAGCTTATTTTTAACTACTTGAGCTTAATTATTATTGCTCATCAAATTTCCAGTATGGGTCCCCCGGGGCACAATTGTCTTAGGAGCGGGAGTGCGCAAAATGAGTTCATATTACGCCTTCAAGTAAATACGTCATTGCTCGCATTGGTCTGGCACATGAATAGCATTATAGCAGTTTTCGTTCGAATTAATCAATCTTGAAATTACTCATTCATACCATGGAGTAAAGAATAAATCCATGTTCATACTACGTTATGTGTTTATCAAAGAGAGGCCTACAGAATACCGTTAAAATGAAGACGGAGGAAACTGATACACAAAATTATTAACCATTAGAAATATCCTTATACGGTATATATTTCAACATGTAGGCCCTATCAGCCAACAACATTCTGGTATTTCCTGTTAGACGTATTGTACAGCCGAATAATGCCGTATTATGTCATTTTTAAGAGAGCAATAATGCAATTATCTCGTGGTTTAACATATTTACTAAGGCTTAATTAATAGGCCTACTAAACATTCTTAAATACGGTATACTTTATTATTATATGGAATTAACAATCACGATTGATAAGTTTCTTGATTGAAATTCTATCGGTCACTCTACTATATACTAAAAAAATTTTTTAGCGCACTTCACAGAAAAATGTTAAATTTTTATTTCATCTTTAACATCTTTAAAGGTCTCTGATGAACAACGCAAACTGCGACCCGACATTTATCGAAAACACTATTACTTTTATATTCACAGTAACCAAGGCAACGCGATAGCTATGGAAACACACATGCGGAAGTCTTATTTTCAATTGTGTTAAATCATGGTTAAATAACACTTAACACATTAAGGAGACGAGTGGCAGCTGGGACTTGATGCTCGCCTCCAATCCCATTGTTCCATTTGAAAACCTGAGAAATTCCATGTTTTTAAAAGAAAAATCACAACGAAACCACACTAAGGCACGCCTTAATGCATATCCATTCTCCTAGTGGTAGGGTAATAGTTATCAGCTATCGGAGAAAAATGACTATCATCAATTATTATTTTTATAATAATAATAATAATTATTATTATTATTATTATTATTATTATTATTTTATTATTATTAGGCCTATATGATATTACTATTTTTATTATTATTATTAGTAGCAGTAGTTTCGTTATTATTATTATTATTATTATTATTATTATTATTATTATTATCGTTATCATTACCATTATTAATTATTTATTATTATTATCATCATATTTTTATTATTATTATTTTAGGTCTAAGTCTTATCATTACCGTTATCAGTATCACTATTATTATTAATAATAATGATAATGATAACGGTACTGATAATACTTATTACAGTCATGATTACCATTATCATTATTATTATTATTATTTAATTTTCATAATGTCATTATTATTATTATTATTATTATTATTATTATTATTATTATTATTATTCAAAGAAAATATTTTTGTTGTATGGATTGAAATATTAGGAATTAAAAAATAAAATTCAGTTCCACTTATCTGAAAACATGTTCAAAGTACAATATCGCTCACGCTAGCGATCATATCGTTCATGTTCGCTAAGTATAGCCATGGCTCGGTTGTTAATTAAACTTAGCTGTGTTAATGATTGATTCATTAAAAAAAATCTTTTCCTGTTTCTACATAGTCATATATTAGTAGAATCTAATATCTACAAAATCGATTTAATATGCCCTTGAAACTCCTAAATTGTCACATTTTCGGGGACACCCCCTCACTTTCAAAACGTTTTGAGCGACGGCCAAAAACGACCACTTTGCTCTCGTCAGGGACATCAGTTCCCCGTCGTGGACGAGTCGGCCCCTCGTCGCGCAAACCCTATATAATAAATATTCTAAGGCCCTATTTAAAAAAAAATCGTGGTCTTCCTAAGCTCGGCGCATGTGCACACATGTCGTGCACAGTTTGATCCGTTTGCACACTGATTTACAAACTATTCAGTTGTAGCTCTTTCGCATTTTTATTGATTTGCACATTTTGATACTAAATTTAGTATTACTGTACTGGTACTAGTACTGGTATGGGCATCTATAATGCGTCCCTTCCTTTAGGTTGTAGCGCGCAGTTCTTTTGCCTGGTAATTGGGTCCACGTGCTTTAAGTGTTGCTGCTGGTAATTAGCACAGGAGCAGGCAACCCCACCAGGTACCCATTCCTGGGTGGGGGTGGGGGGAGCAATGCAGATAAAGTGCCTTGCATAAGGACACAAACGAAATGCACAGCGAGGGATGAAACCCCGATCTCGAGTTTGGAAGACCAAACCGCCTACACACACATTGACATTTATTCTTCTGTTGATGGACGGGGATCACCGGAACGTTCAATAGAATCGTCGAGTCATGTGGATAAGCTAGATATGCGTGGATCATGTAGTGGGGAGGCGATGTGAGCAATGGCGACGCCAGCGGGGGCAGGGGCATAAGTCCCCTCCCCTAACCATTAGACAGGTCAAACCTCAACCAGACAGCTGGTCGAGAAGTCGGACCAAAAAATTTACCGGTATTTTATCAGCATTTAAAAGTATTTTTAAATGTCTGTTTGTGAGTGCCATTTTGGACATTCAGAGGTCTTAAAAAATATATAACCTTTCCCCGGCTTTGACAAAAGTATGCTGCTCCAGTGCCAAAATTATCCTTATCTCACTCAGCCCCTCCCCCCCCCCGTCGGACAGCTTAGCCCCACCCCCAGAAAATATATCCTACAGCCGTCACTGGATGTGAGGGGATTAGGATGTGAGAAGGGGGTGGCGAGTGGTTTTTTGGGGGTCTTATTTTTTTAACGTCTGTATTTTTCACATGAATACATGATTGTTGTAGGTCCAGTTGTAATACAGTAGTATGATGATGACTTTGAGATTAGGTCCTACGTGCTATAGGCCTACCCCAATGCGCTTTATTTTCTTCCGTTTCTTTCCGATCATACAAAAATCTTCATAGACATCATATATTTTCTGCCAGAAGGTCTGGGACCCGGGCCCCCGGCTCCGTCGGTAAAATGATAAATGGTTCAAAAATGTATTTCTTATCAGTGACATAACTAGATGAATTGAGTTGCTTATTCCTCCATGAATGAATGAAGTGCAAGGACCACGAATGACTATTTTACACAAGTGCAGAATTATTGTATATAAAACATTTGTTATGAATATGGAAGTAGGTCTATGAATTAATGAATACCGTAGAGTTAGTAGTAATAACATATTGCTGGTAAAATTTTAATTGCACTTACTTGCCAAATTTGGCTTGAAGCATTCATAAATTATTTATCACACTCTAGATGAGTTGTACTATCACTTGAATTGTTAAATGTTTTACATTAATCACAAGTTTTCTGTTTGCTCATTTTAGGCCGTATACCGATTGTACCAGGGAATGTTATTTTATAATTATTTCAAACATTTTCAAAATCAATCTTAATTACCAAATTTAAGGATTGTCAAAAATGTTGAAATGTATAGGCAATACAAACAAGTGCATTGTGTGTTTTTGTTTAAATATATAACATTAAAAAGACATTAATAATAAATTATAAGTTATAAGTTAATAAAAGTTATAAGTTATACGGTAGGTAGGCCCCTATTTGTATATATTTATGTAAAAAAAGTAAAATAATTGAGTGAAAGTAGTCTGGTGACTGGTCAGAATAAGCAAAAACCTCAAACTGCGCCGCACAGCATGAATACTTCTGAAATAGTCCTCCATGTATTATACCGTTAGGGTAATGCCTTCCTATGTGTTCCCAAGATATTAATTTTTGCTTCAAAAGCGCAAAATGCAGCTGCCAGAAACGTTGTTAGAAAAAGGAACCATGATCACATGACACCTGCTATAAAAGATCGTCATTCATTGCCAATTCACTACAAATTCAGATTCAATTATATTATTATGCTAATGTAAGCTCTGAATGTTTATCGTAGCCTACCATGGGGGAATTAATTTAGTCTAAACTAATCCCTCCATGATCGCCAATTGCCGACTTAATTGAGATCACCCAATGCGAATGTTTTCAAGAACAATCTTGAGGAGGCTTTTCTTGCAAGAGCATGTTTTGATATTAGGGGCTATTTATACCATGGAGGAATAATTTCTCCATGTTTATACTACATTGAATATTGAACATTTTATTCCTGACAGTTGGCATCACATAGGCCTATATCAATTGTTCTGGTGAGATTTGCTGTAAGGGCGAGTGTCATGGTCATATCCATTAGACCAGCATTAGACCACGGAGACCTTAGGAGATACGTGCAGATTTAACCCCAGGCACTTTCTCTCATACAACTGACTGAAATGCTCACATAGTGGCGCTGTAGATAGTTTTTACCTATAAGATTTTCTAGTTTATTTATAGCTCCGCCTGTGATAAGGGAACATTTGTGTGTCTGCGGGGGATAAATTTGTCTCTGTACGAAAGTCAATATAATAAGTTGTTTCAGACCATGCTTAAAGTTAGACGCGGCCTAATCCAACTTCGTTTGAAGAGTGAGTTTCTAAGGATTCAAACATCATTAATAAAAATGAATATGCAAAAGCAAATTACTACTTTGCAAGAATTTTAACTCCGAAAAGCAAATTAAAATCGCAGTCATTCATGATGACGTGCTTTAGCTTAGTATATTAAGCGAGCAGTGCCTGAAGTGCAGGAGCATTTTGGTTCAAGTTGTTTTGGAGAATTTATTTAAATTACAATGTGAAAAAGACTAAAGAAAATGTAAGCTATGACGTCAGAATATTACTATAGTTACTCGCTGTATGTACAATACCAAAACTTGAATAAACATTGCTTCACCCACAGATTGTCATCTTAAGTCAAAACAAAGCATTTTACAACACAAAATTTTTTTTTTTTCTCAAACAGGATGTTGGACGATATATGCGTTGACGTACGCACTCGTTATCTTCATCGCACTATGGGGAGACATTTCAGTTCAAGGTAAAGTTCTCCGTCTAAAGCCGGCTTTCCACCAAGCAAATGTATTCGCGTCGGCTTAAGCATAATGCACATGCGCATTCACATTTCTATTGGAGCTTTTGCTAGCATAAAAATGTGCAACCAATCAGAACTCTGGAAGCGAACCAACGCTGTCGATTCGCGCGATAATGGACCTTTCCGCTAAGCAACGTCCCTTGTATGTTGGTGCTAAAAAAGCCTGTCGCACACCAGAGACGAACGACATTTGGCGTACGTAAGAACATAGCTCAGGTGTGCAGCAAGCTTAGTTTCCACAAAACGACAGCATAAATGCATATAAACATGTGCGTTTGAATGACAACACGTCCGTGTGCTGCAGTAAGCGCGTATTCTTATTTCTGTTCTGATTGGTCAGTTATGTTTTATTAATACTCCTGAAGGTCCAATAGGGGTGCGTATAAACATGGGTCCGATGGCGAAACTGATTTTTTATATAGTACTGAGGGTCGCAAGCAAACTTATGGTGAAAAGGTTGACAATATGCATGTAAAACCCTTCCTACATCATTTTTTATTTACTTATTTATTTAATTTATAATTTATTTTTGACAGGTCTTCGGCGTCGGGCCCAAACAACAAGGCGTTCTCATAACCAAAGATTGTAGGCAGACCACACATATAGGGTTTTTATTTATTTTTTTCGCAGGCAGCAACAAAACTGCACTTTGCCTACCTGTGCTCCATACAAACTACGAACACCTAATATAGACCTAGGCCTACTTATAGGCATGTGCCTATATATTGCATTAATAGGATAGCGTCCACTATTAAAGATACCATATACCTTGTCTGCCAAAAATTAAGAAATACCACACAAATTTAATTGAAGTGTTGAATAGTTAAAAGGATCAAGTCTTATGAACTTTCAACCATAACGAAAGAAATTGTTTTTCGCTGATTTACAGACGTTTTTCTGATTTAAGATTTTCATAATCTATCCGGTCACCACAGTATATAAATTATCATCGAGGACCCATCAGAACTGCTATCAAAAAAGCAAAGGGCATACTAGTACTGTATAATACTGGACGACATAAAAACAAGTGATATACCAGATGCTAGTGGTCTCTACGATGACTATAGCTTGCCACCATTAGGGTACATGTAATTCAGAAACATTGACCATCATATAGACCACAGACCGCCTGTTTGGTTATTGATAATTTGTTAGTTTTCTTTTTTTATAAATAAAAATATCATTTGAAATTTTTCCTCAGCCTTAATTTATTCTTATTTTGTTCTAAATTTTTTAAGCAATTTCAACCTTAGTGTTCTTATATATGTGTTCTTATAAAAACAAAAGTTTGCCTAATTACCTCGTCCTTCAAATAGGCTGTTAAGCCAACGGTTCCTTTGTCAACTTTCAGTACGTTATCCAAAAAAGTGTAGGAGACAATGTCCCTTGGTGTCTTACTGACCATGATAGGCGATGCACTACAGCGCGGGTCTGTTCGGCTTATTATTATTTGCAAGGAATTTCAAAGTAGATGTAGATAACACTCTGTTGTTAATACTCTCCAATGTCTACTACGGTTGCAGCAGGTGAAACAACTGCAGTCAGCACAACGGAAGTTACAAATATATGACTTATTATATTATATTATATTATATTATTATATTATATTATGCCTATATTATATTATATTATAGGCCTATTATATTATATAATAATAATAATAATATTATTATTATTATTATTATAAAAGAGTAGGTACTACGACACATTATTATGTTATTATTATTCATTATTATTATTGTTATTATTATTAAAATAAAATAATAGGTACTACGACACAGCCTGATACTACACACATTACAACTTCAGATGGTGAGAACTCTTATTACTCTTATATTATAATTATTATTATTATTATTATTATTATTATTATTATTATTATTATTATTATTATTATTATTATAGGCCTATTATATTATATTACATTATATTAGGCCTATATTATATTATAGGCCTATTATATTATATAATAATAATATTATTATTATTATTATTATTATTATTATAAAAGAGTAGGTACTACGACACATTATTATGTTATTATTATTCATTTTTATTATTGTTATTATTATTATTATAAAATAATAGGTGCTACGACACAGCCTGTTACTACACACATTACTCCCGATGGTGAGAACTCTTATTACTATTATCAGCGTATTATTATATAATAATAATAATAATAATTATTATTATTATTATTATTATTATTATTATTATTATTATAGGCCTATTATATTATATTATATTATATTATATTAGGCCTATATTATATTATAGGCCTATTATATTATAAGATGGTACTATAATGCAATTGCTACTAACATGACACAAGCCTGGTTTCCTTAAAATCGCTACACTGTCGCTACGGTTTTTCAGTATAATCGTTGTAGGCCCAGTGGCGGCTCCAGGATATATTTTCTGGGCGGGCTAAGTTGTCCGACAGGGGGGACTTGAGCTCGTAGGCTCGAGCTGGGGGAAGTGGTTGAGAGGGGGTTCTTCCTCCGAAATGAGATTTGTTTAAGAATAGCAACATCTGGGTGGCCGGAAATGGCACTCTCAGACTGTGACAGACATGTGTTGGCTTGGTGTGGGCCTATTTTTATATGTTTTATGGTCTGACTGTCCGACGAGCTCTGTCCTGGGGGGGGGGGAGCTTGACCGGTCCGGGTGATCTGTCCGGTGGGGGACTTAAGCCCACTGTCCCCTGCTGACGCCGCCACTGTGTAGGCCTACTGCGTAGCAGACTCCTACCCGATTCAACGGACCAATCAACATCCCGAAAGCGATAGCTGGTAGTGTTTGTATGGAAACCAAGTTTAACACGATTAATGCTACAGATAAAATACAACTAACACAAGTTATAACTGTATCCAACAAAATAGAATCTACCTATTCCACTGTGGCTATAACTACGACGGAAAATTATATTGAAACAACGAATACAACAGATTGGACGAATTCGACAACGGACTGGTTAAGAAATGATAATTTAACGGATTGGATAACAACGAATAGGACAACGGATTGGACAACAACGGATGGGACAATAACAGATTGGACAACAACGGATTGGACAACGACGGATAGCACAACGGATAGGACAACAACGGATCATCATACTGATGTCGATGTGACAAATCAAATTGTAACGACGTCACAAATGACATCCGATGTCACGACAAATGATCCACACGCAACAACAAATTCACATGTAACCTCTGCTACAACCAGAGGTAGGCCCTAATATTGTCATTCTGAAAAATGTGTTTCTGGCAGTAACTTGCCTATGACTTATGCCCCCACCTCTAATAAGACCTTTTTACTGCCAACATTCGGTTCTGCATTTAGCACACTGTACCCAAGCTATTAGGACAGTTGGGGTCCACAAAGAATGGGTCCACATATTTAAAAATGGGTCCAAATCATGTAATTTTATGCATAAAATGGGGCCACTTTTTTTGAAAAATGGGTCCCGATTTCTCATATTTAGCATAAAATGGGTAAAATTTAAGAAAATGGGTCCAGATTTTTTATATTTTTGCGTAAAATGGGTCCACATTTGTTTGAATTTACGCGTAAAGTGGGCCCACCCTAATATTTTCCCGCGCGACTTGAAAAAATCCTGGCTACGGCATTGACAGTACCACTGTTTCCAAAAGCATAATCTCCAATCTTTTTTCCAAGCCTATGAGTATTAACTTTAATGCAACACTTGAGACATATATTTTACCGTGGATATAATACTGTTCCGACGATTTTACATTGGTGGAGCTGGCTTGAACCTATAGTAATCTTAAACGTTTGTCGCTCTATACTAATACACTATGGCATATCAGAAAAATATTTTCTTTATCATTAGGTATGACGTCAGAAAATTATAATTATGTTATTAGGTAAATTTAGAAAAAAAAGTGAGATAATTGCCTATTATTTAAATGCCTCAAATATCATATGGAAAAAAACAAAACCAACCCAATTATGCAATTTATATATACACGTACAGTACCACACATTTCGGAATGAAAACAGCCACTGGTTAGATCTGCCTGAATCGTATTCGTTCTACTTGTGGTAAATCACAAGTAAACATAACAGTTAATGAAACGTTTTGGAAGGTGTTGGCGCTATGGTTGCAGTGTAGCCACTCAATCCTAAGTAGTGTGTAATTTATTTTACATTATATGCTACAAACTCACACATTCCCACTGAGCAAGATCCTAAATTTGTACTTTTCAACGTCATGAACAAAGTAAATCAAAATAAAGAAATTGTTAGCAAAATTTAATATTTTCAATTTCATTCAGAAATAAAAAAAGAGTTAAAATTAATAATTTTCATTATGAATTAATAACAATAAATATTACACCTGGTTGGTGAAATCGTTGATTTAATTCACTTAAAATAGGCCTATACTTATGTTGATTAGCATTTCCTATAATTGTGTTTAAAATCAGGCTCCGGAGGAAACACATATTTTTTGATATGTTGTAGAACTGATTTTTCTAAGACAGAAAAAATTAGTTTGATCAAAAACTGAGCAATGGTAAATGATATACAGATTTTTGAATATTTAAAAACTGTGGTAGTAAGGTGTAAATATGGGCGGTTACGCCCCTTTTCCCCCAGTTTTTAAATATTCAAAAATCTGTTTCTTTCACCGTTCTCCAGTTTTTCGTCTTCTGTCTTAGAAAAATCAATTCTAGGCTACAACATATCATTTTTTTCCCTCCGGAGTCTGACTTTAACATTTCACAAGGCTCCGAATAATTTGTGTATCTAGCTCTCCTACACTACAGTCGCCTTTGAATATGCGTGATTTGTAATCACATTTAAATGTTATAATATTGTAAAACGTATTTTGTTATTACCTAATCATCATATCTAATTGGGTACGTACATTATTTTCCACAAGCTACGGATGCTATGGATGCTATCTCCACTCCCAAACCTACCACTCCAATGCATGAAGATACTACAACACAACCTGGTCCTACAACTACACAGGCTATATCTACAAACGGTGAGAATTATTATTATTATGATTATTATTATTATTATTATTATTATTATTATTATTATTATTATTATTGTTTTTGTTGCTGTTGCTTGCTGTTGCTGTTTCTGTTGTTGCTGGTGCTGTTGCTGCCGCTGCTGTTGCTGCTGCTGCTGTTGCTTGTGATGTTGATGTTTCTGGTGCTGTTGCTTTTGCTTTTGCTGTTGCTGTTGCTGTAACAACAATATCCCACAGTGGAATGGGATTGAAAAAGAATATTTACTTCGATATACACGTCTGTTTAGAGACACGTTATTATTATTATTATTATTATTTTTATTATTATTATTATTATTATTATTATCATAAAATAGTAGGTACTACGACACATTATTATGTTATTATTATTCATTATTATTATTGTTATTATTATTATAAAATAATAGGTGCTACGACACAGCCTGTTACTACACACACTACAAATCCGGATGGTGAGAACTCTTATTACTATTATCATAGTATTATTATATTATAATTATTATTATTATTATTATTATTATTATTATTATTATTATTATTATTATTATATAATATTATGCATCATTTCTCATATCTTGATTACTTTAGTATAGTGTCCACCATCCCCAATTTTTGGAAAACAATCTAGATGACTCATGTGTTCCGAACATAAATTATCAACGGATGGTAAAATTCCTGTCTACAACCAAAGTATTAGAGTTGTGTATAATAATTTAGTTAAGGATAAAGTTACCAGACCCAGGGCAATGGCAAAATGGGAACAACAATATCCCACAGTGGAATGGGATTGGAAAAGAATATTTACTTTGATATACACGTCTGTTGGAGAAACTAAAATACAGTATTTCCAATTTCGATTCCTACACCGGGTTGTTGGTGTTAAGCAATATATGCATAAGATTGGTACTGTATTGTTAATACTGCAACGTCTACTTTTTGTAAAATGTATAATGAAACATTGAAACATTTGTTTTGGACTTGTGCCCACGTGAACCGCTTGTGGAAGAATATTGCTAAAAACCTAATAAGGGAAAACCCTGAATTCCTGGAACATGACATATTTTTTGGCCAATATAATGATGTCAAGAATCCTATTAATTTCCTAATTTTCAATGCCAAACACTATATTCTTACCTGTAAGTTGAATGATAAGCTTCAAGCGAGGAATTTGCCTGTAAATTTCGATTTTTTTTTTTAGCAGTGGAAAAGTTAATTTTGCAAAATGAAAATAAGGAACAGCTATTTATCAAATATATTAAACGCTTTAAAGACGGTTAAAAAAAACAATATTATGTTCCGATAGGAAATTTGTTACTCAATATATTAGTAGAATGTGACATTCTAATGTATATGATATGTATCAGAACAAAATAAAAAGGAATATGGACAGAAAAAATTATTCTTATTTTTACTATTATCATTATATTATTATTATCATTACTGTATTATTGTTACCATCATATTATTATTGTTATTATTATTAGTTTTATTATTATTATTATTATTATTATTATTATTATAAAATAGGTACTACGACATAGCCTGTTGTTATTACTCATTATAATTATTATTATTATTATTATAAAATAATAGGTATTACGACACAGCCTGTTACTACACAGAATACAACTCCAGATGGTGAGAACTCTTATTAATATTATCATTGTATTAATATATTATAATCATTATATTATTATTATTATATGGACAGAAAAAAATTATTCTTATTTTTACTATTATCATTATATTATTATTATCATTACTGTATTATTATTACCATCATATTATTATTGTTATTATTATTAGTTTTATTATTATTATTATTATTATTATTATTATTATAAAATAGGTACTACGACATAACATGTTGTTATTACTCATTATAATAATTATTCTTATTATAAAATAATAGGTATTACGACACAGCCTGTTACTACACAGAATACAACTCCAGATGGTGTGAACTCTTATTAATATTATCATTGTATTAATTATTATAATCATTATACTATTATTATTATTTTCATTATTATTATTGTTAGTAATATTATTATCATTCTATTTACTGTATTATCATTATCATTATATTGTTATTAGTAATATTATTATTATAATTATCATTAATGTATTATTATCATATTATTATTATTATTATTATTAATATATAAAATAATAGGTACTATGACACCGAAAGTTACTACGCAGGCTGGAACTCCAAATAGTAGGAACTGTAATTACTATTATCATTGTATTATTATATTATAATTATTATTATTATTATTATTATTATTATTATTATTATTATTATTATAGGTACTATGACACCGAAAGTTACTACACAGACTGGAACTCCAGATGGTGAGAACTTTTATTACTATATTAGTATACTTTATACTGTAGTATTATTATCATTATATTAATATTAGTAATATTATTATTATAATTATCATTACTCTATTATTATCATATCATTATCATTAAAATAATAATAATAATAATAATAATAATAA